CCTTCAGGAATGCCATGATCCAGGATGTGCTGCAGTTCAAGAAACAGCTGCTGCGACTACGTCGCATTCTACAGGAGGTGGGTGAACCAGTCAGTCAATCATACGGTCATGTCCACATCATTTTCCATTTACATATTAAATTTTCTTTTGCACACACACACCCACACACACTCATACACACACATGCACAGGATGCTGATTCTGCCACGAAGCGGGTAGGTTTTCATTTTCATTTGATTTTTCCAGCTCACAACCACACAAATCAGTTTGAAATGTTGCAGTGGAACGCGTCTCATTCAATTCATTCCGTTTCATTCCACTTGCAGACGGAAACGCTGAATCCCTTCGAGAACGACAATGTGCAGCTGTTTGCGGCCTGCGGCCTGGACAGCAAGCAGTTAAATGACATCGATCTGGCCAGTTTGACCTCGTCCATCACGGAGGATCCCTTGCAGGAGCTAACGGATCTACGTAGACAGGTGGTTTACCTTCAGGTATTTGCACGTTCGTTTTCATTTCGTTTGCTCGTTTTGTCGCGCGTACCTCAAAAACTCAGTCTGAGAGTAACAAAGACTCACTTTCGCTTTCTTACCAACAACAATAACTATATATCTACATATATATATATACGAAGCAGTCATCCGAACAGGAATACAATTTTAAATAGTTCTTTTCTTATCGATATACTATTGCTGTTGTTTTTTAAAGTTTCCTTTTGGCATGTAACATACAAAAGCAGACCAAACCATACTTCATTTATGCTTATTTAAATAGTATCTTATAGATATCTATATCTTATATCTTGTATATTGCTAGCAGAATTCAAACAAATACCAAAACACGCACCTATTCTTATAACTAGCTACATTTAGAAGCAACAATTTTAAGAAAATAAACATTTTTAGCTGTTGTTTGTGAACTCATGCTCCAAATTCCGAATTTATGTATATATCAACTGTTTCTAGTTACAAAAGAAGGTAAGTGGAATGGCAAATTTCATAGGTTTAATGGGTATAATTTCAAATGGAACAATTAGAAATGGACCATTTTTGAATTGGAAACAGAAGATGAAGATAAAAAGAAACACAATTTGAAGGATATGCTTTGAAAGGCTCTCACTTGCGGCTATATAAATAGACAGACCAATTTCTGCCTTATTTCTATTCTTATTCATACAAAAAACTCTACCTTAAGGCGAACATTCAAATCTTCCCATGAACATTCGGAATCTTCCTATGATTATGCTCCACTCAAACTTAGTTTTATAACTAGAAACAGCTTTTTGCCAAATTGCCCAATTATCAATTGTAAACCTGAATAATTTTCTACCTATTTAGGTCTGAGTTTTACAGGCCATAAAAGAAAAAAACTCGGCAAAAAAATCCCAAAAAGTAGCCAAAGCAACCAATTTGTGCAACTGGAATGCTTGGCAATTGAAATACTCTGCAATTTAGCTCAAGCTTTTTTTGTAAACATTTTTTGTTCGGAATTTGGAGCTTGGTTGTGTACATTGATGGATAGCATATACTCTGTATTTATGCAACTTTTTGTGAATGTCTTAAGTTACAAAAAACACACTCTCTGGCTTAGTTTGTGAACATGAATATCTAATGTAATGGCCTTTGTTTAAGCTCAAGCGCAAAACTAACAATTGTGTATTTGTGTGTGTGTGTGTGTGTGTGTGCTATTGTGTGTGTGTGCGTCTATTGACCAGGGTCAAGTGGATGATCGTGATCGCACCATACGCCTGCAGCGAGATCTCATCGAGCAGCTGGAGGCGGAGAAGCGACAGGCGGGCAACGAGGCAGGCATCCATCAGGCCAACAAGGAGCGCATTAGCATGGCCACCCAAACGGAGCGGGTAAGTGTAATGGGCAGCTATATAGCTATATATATATGATATACATATGTGTGTGTTTTTGAGTGTGTGTGCACAACATTGACTAACCGAAAGCTATCAACAATTCCGATTCCACTTTCACAGACACGTCCACTTGCCATTGGTGCGGAGGGTTTGTCCAGGTAGGCAAACGTTCAGCTGCGATTTATTCTTGATTTCTTGCTATTATTTATTATTATTATTTGTTGCTATGGTTGTTGTTGCAACAAAACTAAAACAAAACGTTGCCTGTGGCTGCCGCTGCCGCTGCTGCAGCAGCTCGTGTGTCAGCTGGTTTCATGCGCTGCTGGCTTTTTGGCTCGCGGCAACATGCAAATCAGTTGGCTCTCTGTTGACGTTAATGGCCGCAAATTGTAATGGCAACGGCCTAATTTGGCCAGCCTGCAACAAGTAGCTGCCACAATAGCAGCAGCCGCGGCAGCCCGTCTTGCACTCACTTATTTTGTACGTAGCCTGTGCTGATTATCTAACTATTCGTAACTGCCGCATTTGATTAACTACTCTCTATATACATATATATCATCCAAACACACTCGAATACTATCTGAAACTTAACATGCTGCTTTATATATATAGACTACAGTTTGGGGATCAACAGGTACTATTTTGCGATTTCATATTAGCCGTTATAGTGCTCTGTGCGATCAATCTATTATGTATACTACATCTAAGCTATAGCTGTTTGGATAATTGCAATTCCTGCAACTAAATCCGGCCAAGTTTAAAGAAAATATTTATTCAAAAAAGCACTAAAATGTTTTATACTAAATTATATACTAAAAAAATACTAAAAAGTATCTGGTTCGAACCTTGAGCTTTACTGACTTTAATACTAGAAAATACTAAAACAGGAAGGAAGATCTCGAACTATAACCTGTTGTCTTAATACTCAAATAACACTGAAGGAGGAACAGAGTTCAAACCTTGAACTGATATAATACTAAAAGAAAACTGCAGTCGAAACTCAGGCTAATACGAAACAAATACTTTAGGAGAGATCAGGGTTAGTTTTCTGGCCTTGTTTATATATATGGCTTTAACCGGATTTAAGAATTAAATATTACTAAAGAATCAACCCGATTCAAACATTAAGCTGATAATAATACTAAAATAATACTTGAAGAGCATCCGGGCTCGAACCGTTTGATGTTGTATTTAATACTATATAAGGCTTTAACTGTATTTAATACCAAACTCATACCAAAAGAGAAGCAGGGTTCGAACTAGACTATCCTATCGTATCCTAGACTAACATTAGTTAATAACTAATTTTAAAGAGACTTAGCTTTAAGCATTTGAAATTTGTTGCCTGACACTTAACACTGTGTGTAAACTATTTTAATTGCATGCGGCAATTAAATAGAGTTCCCAGGTAAAGCTGAACCCAAAAACTAACCTAAACAAATACTACTCAAAATATGTTTAATGAACGAATCAAATATGACACTCATAGCATGTGCACAGAACCCCTTTGATACGTTGCGTTCCCTTACTAATCTATGGTCTATCTCTACCGCCCGCAGAAGTAAGCCCGAATATACTAGTTATACCACGCACTTTCCGACGCTCCACTTGCAATGCAACGACTCCACGCTGGCGGCCACCACGATAATCCGCCATCAGCCGCAGCAGTTGCAATGCAATGGCCACGGCAGCAATCACAGCAGTCGCAGCAGCAATCACAGTAATCACAGCAACAACAACAACAACAACAATTGCCGTTCTCTTAGCCAGACGCGTCGTCACACAATCATTTCCACCACGCTGACCAACTACAATCAGCAGCTGGCCGCCGCCGCGTATCCGCGTCGTGCCTCCATCGGTTGGGATGCGGCCGAGACGAACGCAAACTCGAACGCGACCATGCCCACTTCCACGGCTGCCCACAAGCCAGTGCGTATAACGCTTATTGGCGAGCCGTTGCCCCAACAAAATGGCGGCTGCCACAAGATGCCGCCGACGCAACAAAATGGCGGCTGCCACAAGATGCCGCCGGCACAACAAAATGGCGTCAAGGCGCATTTCCTGAATGGCTGCCAGAACGGGGCGCACAGCGGCGCGTCTGCATCGGGCGCACATTATCAGCCGTTGTACAACAGCAACAAGATGACAAGCCCAACCGTAACTATAGTCTGATTTGGATACCCCAACACAACCCAGTTGCAACAGAAGCGCTAACAGAAAATATATAAAGCAAGTGTCAGCAGGCGCTTATAGTTAATAAGCAACAAATTCTTAGAAATATGAGCATAATATATATAACTATATATATATATATGGAAAACTTAAATATACCAGCAAACTATATATAAACCATATATATATACATATATCTAACAATATACTCTCAAATTGTTTGCAGTCTTACCAAATTCAGTAAAGAAAACTTAAGATTTCAATTAACAAAAACATAAGAAAAAAGGAAACTACATAATATATAATAGTTTCCAGTCTCTATAAGAAAATAGCCTGCATTTTTTCTCCATGTACAATAATTAAATAAATAAATCAATAAATAATCATTTAATTGAATGGCACAGCTCCGCGACTAGTTAAATTCGTGTACTTCAACTAATTAATTGTTAATTATGTTATTTAATTTGTAGCCCTAAGTTTTAGTATATTCTGTAATTATTTTGTTTCGGCTTAATTTAACTGTATTATAGTCTACGAACCTACATAATGCTACAAATAGTTATATGCGTATATATATTATTATACTCAATAACTATATAATAATCATCTTCTTCTTCGTCGAGCACAATAATCGTAATTATCCCAAAATACTTGTATGCTGAAACAATTGTAAACAATGTTAAGCTTATTAAATAGAGCTCTTAGCCAGATGCTATTTATCTATAGAACTGCCGCGGATTGTTTTTCTTTGGAATTCACTTTGTCTACAGCCTGGCCCACACTCGACTGTGTGTGTGTGTGTGTGTGTGTCGAGTGGAGCTCTTGAGTCAGCTGGCGCAGGCCAAGATGCGTCTGCGAGAACCGGCTAATCGCGAAACTGGATTTACGCGACGTCGGGGATTCTTATCAAGCGCTTGAGCGCTCGACGAGCTACGCTCAGTAGCAATTGAACAGTCGAACTGGAATGTCGCCGAATGCCAAACAGTTCTGGACTTGGCCAGTTCTCTGGCTGCTCTGCTGGGCTGTGCCCCGTGCGTTGGCGCAGTTGTGCGAGGCGCAGGGCTGGCGCAGCTTTGAGTGCCGCGAACTGGGCAGCCTGCAGGAGCTGATCAATGAGAAGGCTCTACACACTTACAGCTGGCACAGGCTGAGCATCAGAAACGAGCACACGGAGCTGAGCATAGGCACAGGTAGGTTCTGCGCTTGAATAGTTGTGCTGCACTGACTAAATCTCCATTGCAGACGAAGACGCGCAGAGCTTGGCCGGTTTGTTGCACTTGGATCTGTCGCATGTGCAGCAGCTGCAGCTGCAGCGAGCCGGCTTCTCGATGCTGCCACAACTGCAACAGCTGAACATCAGCGGCTGCGCCTTGGAGCAACTGCTCGACACGCACTTTGCCGCCAACGCAAGACTGCAGCTGCTCGACGCCAGCCACAACCAGCTGACAACTCTGACAAAGCATCTCTTTGGCAAGCTGCGCACTTTGATTTATGCCAATTTCACACACAACTCGCTGACGCACTTTGAGCTGCCCCACATGCCAATGCTGCAGCAGCTACAGCTGGACCACAATCAGTTGATTAATTTCAGCCTCGGTGCCTGTCCCCATTTGGAGCAGCTCAGCCTTAACGGCAATCAGCTGGACCAGGTGAGTAACCAACGGGACAGACAATGGGACACTTAATTCGCAGCGGGAACAAGCGACAACTTAATGATCGCTCCCAGCCCAAGAATAGATACAAAGCGGCCCTTTATCGATTTGCCACGCCTCTTAAATACGAGTATACAGATCCCTAATCATAAATCTGCAGCCCTATAAACTCTTTTCGCTTTGTTAACGAGTGTAGCGAATCATCAGCTGTATTTATTTTGGGTTCCACAAAGGTCGCGGTTTCCATTGAATCTAATCTATATTTGATTTCTTACAACTGCGTAGCTTATAATCTCATTCAATAAGTATAGTCTACTAGAGTGGAAATACCAGTACCCTGCTATTATGATGATATATATCTTTTAGTTATAAGCCATATAGGGTTTAGATATACACTATCGGCAAAAGTTTCGCCCAGTCTACGAAACCGTATCCTCGTTGTTTAGTGTATCGTAAAACTTCTTTGTTTATTATTCTATAGCTCTACTGAACTTTTCACGTTAAGAACCATGCATTCTGAATATTAAAGCCTTTAACTGGCCGCTTGAAGATCTCCAACATGCCGAAGATTAAATACCCTTTTAGACATTTCCCCTTGACTGATATGTCGGAGATGTCTCCGTCTATGTGGTACACATTTCATTGCACATCTATAAAACTCTCTATAAGGGGATTCAAATAGAAAAGAGAGCCCACATACCAAGAATCAAATCTCTAGCCCTAGCTCAACAATCAGTATAGGGTATAGAAAAACCTGTTTTTATTTAAATATTACGTTATTGCCTATGAAGAATCTACGTGCATTAAAGATCAATTTAAATTGCATTAAAAATGCACTCAATAATTTCTATAAAGATATTTATGTAACTTTATCTTTAAGTAACTTACTAGAAGAAATCACCCGGCATCGCCCGAGTCAAATGAAACAATTTGTGCAAGGGCAGACCCGGCTTAAATGAAATTTGATTATTTCAATCTATTCTCTGGAGTCTAAAAAGGCAGTAGGGCTTTATTTAAGCCAGTTTAAGTATTTCGATCGAATTATTGAATTATTATTAGAAAAGATCACAATGTTTGCGATTATCTGGCTTCCCATATCAAACACTTATGATTTCAATCGGTTCTATGGGGTATTACGCTTCCAACAGGGCATAGCTCATCAGGATAAGACTTTCTGAACCGAATTAAATTATTAAAGTTTTCAATAATGGTATAATTGAAATATTTGGGGGTATATTTAGGAATAATTTACCCAAAACCCCGTCTTAGTGCTCACTTTCAACCCAAAAGGAAGCTACTGTAAAAGTTTCAAGGGCCAGTCAATCAGTCAGTCAGTCAATCAGTCAATCAGTCAGACAGTCAATGAGTCAGTCGATTAGTCAATCAGTCAATCAGTCTGGCAGTCTGAACAAACTTATTTATATCTATAAATTAGCTCATAGGTTGCCCATCTTTTTGTAAATCCCATTTTGAATAATTGACTTATGCACTTACCAGCTGAATGCAACAAGCTTTCGTGAACTACCTGGACTGGTGGATCTGCAACTGGGTGAGAATACGCTTAAGACGATTGACAAAGACACTTTTCAGCCGTTGAGGCAGCTACGTTCCTTGAATCTCTCGCACAATGAGCTGGATGCACTGCGTCCACAGGTGTTTGGCTCAGCTATGGGGCAATTGGTTGCACTGCAGCAATTGGATTTGTCCGGCAATAATATACGCCTGCTCTTTGACAATCAATTCCGAATGCTGGGCAAGCTTCAATTGCTGAACATATCCCACAATAGCATCTCTAGCCTGAGTGCTGCACACTTTGCGGGTCTACAGACGCTGCGCAAGCTGTATTTGCAGTCGAACGATATACTCGAGATCAAGCCAGACACGTTTGCAGGGCTTGACGATCTGGACACACTGGACTTGTCGCACAACAACCTCGAGTATCTGGACGAGAAGGCCTTTGGCAGCAGGGCAATGTCGCGCCTGCGCAAACTCAATCTGAACGCCAACAGTCTGAAGCGTCTGCATTCGCTGGCCTTCTCCTCGCTGCCCTTTGTGGAATACCTGTCGCTGGGCAACAATCTGCTGGGCCGGCTGGATGTGCTTATGTTTGCGCCCATGCGACATCTGCAGAAGCTGCATTTGGGCCACAACGAGCTGACCGAGATCAGTCCCACTGTGCTGGAGAGCCTGAGCAGCGTCGTGGAGCTGCTCATTGACAACAACAAGCTAACCTTCCTGCCGGATCTAAATGGTACGCTGGCCAACTTGAAGCGTGTGGCCATTGAGGGCAATCCTTGGCAGTGCGCCTGTTTCACGCAGCTGGAGCGTTGGCTCCAGGCCAAGCACGTTACCTACGTGCGCGAGGGCACCGGCTTCTACAGCGGCGAGAAGCCACTTTGCGTGGTTACAGCTGTGGAATACTGTGTGCAGACACTGCCAAAAGATCGACACCAAGATGTTGTGGATGAGTTCGAGGAGCGACTACAAGCAGGACGGTCCTTAGATGGTAGCTCAGATGAAGACTGATAAATGTGATGGATGAATAAGTGTGTGATGAATAAATGCATTTTTGATGATTGATCGTTGATGATGGATGTTGTGGGGCAAAGGCAAAAACACGGCCTGTTGTTGGCGCAGATTCCTATTATTCCAAGATAGATGTTGTATTAATTTAAACATATTGTGGTACATTTCCGTTTGTTGGCTGCGTCTCGCATTTTGTGTGTAATTTTCAATTTAACAAACTATAACTCGAGTCGTTTAGGCAGGGTTCTTGACGCGCAGGGACAAGGCAGTCAAATCGCCAATGCACTTGTTTAGCGTCTCCTTCTCCTGCTGGGGCGAGATGCTGGACAGCACATTAGCCACAATCCAGTTGACCATGTGCTTCTGGCTGAGACGACGCTCGACATGACGGCATTCCACTTGATAGTCCAAGCGGCGCTTGACCTCAGAGTAGACATTCATGGCACGCTCGCGGAAAGCAGCCTCCAGCTGGAGGGCAATGTTCTCCTTCTTGGCATCCATCAACAAGAGGGCACCATCGGCACGCCACTGCTCCTTCTTCTCGGCCTCGATGGCATCAGCGAGCACCTTGAGCTCAGCCTCACGACCCTCCTTCCACTCGCCTTCGATTTTCTAAAAAAAAAAACAATAGTTAATGATGAAGCATATTCCTTCCGATTGTTTTCACACTCACATCGATTTCACCATCAGCCCAGCGAGCAACAGCTGGACCCAGTTTCTTGACCGCAATAATGGCCATGATACCGAGCGACAGACCGCTGTAGTATTCGTGCTCCATCACGTAGATTTCCTTGGAGCACAGGTAGGTGATCAGACCCACGCCGAATGTGTAGGGGCCAGTCACACCAGTCTTGTTATAGAAGAACTGGAACCATTCCTCTGGAATGAAGCCCAGACGCACCTTGCCGGGATGTTCGGGACGCTGGCGGCGCTCAACAGCTCCGCTGGCAGGCTGGGCGGCGGCGGCAGCTGCCGAGCGGCTGGCCACCAAGCTCAATGGGCGCTGGGCTAAACAAAATAATATAATAGCCGATTATTATTTTGCTGTCTCCAGTATCATTTGCAAAAAAATGCAATTTTAACACATCGTTCGCGAATGTAGCCCGTGATTACATAAACCACGATGGCAGATTTTGCGGTGCCGTAACAATTTTCACGGTCGCCGTTCGCTGCACTAACACACGCGCAGTGGCCAAGTAGCGAGTTATTGGCCCAATTATTTACTTAACTTTACTATTTTTACGTTTACCTGTAAGGAGTGCGGCTCTGGAGAACATTTTTATAATGATGTTTCGACGAATTTATGCTACTAAATTGACGTTCAGGTCCTCACCTACCCTGTCATTCACAATAGAGCAGCAAAACTATCGATTATTAGTTCACAAACATGTGTCTACGGCGTTGCCAGATGCGTACATCGATTGCTCCACTAAGACAATATTATTCAATATGCTAGAGTTGGTATTTTCGATTTGCATTTTTTGTTGGTGTTTTCCAGATTGCCAACTGCTGTCACTCTGTAATTTTTAAAATATTCGCGCCTTAATATTGAGACGCAACAAAAAGTGACTAAATTCATTTAACAAAAAACTTAGAAATAATGACACTGCAGACTTCTCGTTTGTAACTTTACAAGTTTTTATTAAAAAATATTACAATTCGCTAAGTAAATTGTGTCTAAAATAACATGAATCGCATGTGAAAATTTTGCATTAAAATACTTTTACAAAATACTATAAGAGACAGCGAACATATTTTGAAAATGATAAATATAAGACTGTAGGATTTCATTTATGTATACATATTATTCGTTTACTTTGTTTGTTTGTTTCAGTTCTCAAAGCTATTGTGTGCAGTTTTCATAAATAAAGCGCTTAATCATGAGCTTCTTTGCGTGTGTGTTCCTTTTTGCTAAACTAACTAAAATGACTGTCTTGTGCGTAGAAAATAAAAACCTACAGAGAACACTAAATAGATATACAAAGATATTAAAAATCATTAAAAAGAGCGTATAAAAATCCTTTGCGCTAACGTTATTTGTACAGCATTTCAAATAAAACATGATACGACTATTTACAGCAGTAAACATATACATATTTAAAAACGTAATAATACATGTATAAGACTAATTTACAACTTTCAACATTGTTTGTTCCTTGTGTTTTTCTTTTTATACAAAACGAAACGATTTGGCCTAATATTAAGAATGGGTGGTCTCAACAGGATGATGATGATTACATGCCGTTTGATCCTCATTTGAACACACTTATCATACATACATTCTGCTCTCTCGAGTCGGAAGGCTGGTTGGGCGTGGCGCAGTTCGTTGGCTCATTCAATAACATTGAAGCGTGTGAGCAGCTTGTGGTAGCACCAACGTACCACTTGCTGCACACGGGATACCATCCAGACGCAAAGGCTACCTGTGTGACGAAGTTTGGAAGCGTAGTGCTTGAAGTGATCTGTGTGGCAAGAGTTAAGGCAACCAAAACTAAAGTAACAATGTACAACAAACAATGAACAATAAACGTTTTGTGTAAAAAGGATATAATAATGTCCAAGGTGGGTGACCGCCGTTTATGTAGGTCACGTACGTGAAACCGTCCTTGCCCTTGCCCCTTATGTTGTAGTAGTAAGGCAGAAACGAGTGTAACGTAAATCTGAAAGCCGAACAGAAAGAAGCCGTTAATAAGCTAAAGACACGCAACCAATTGAATGGACATTATCGATACGCATGTGGGTTAATGGAGGTGTGTTACCTTCTTTTCTCATAGAAAAATATGGCAGGTTGATTTGTGGTCAGAGTGTGCAGGAAGATTGCCTTCACCGCATGTCTTTCTACCGTCGTCAAATGGTTCATCAGCGCGTCCAGCAGCAGCGAACCGATGCCATTCCGACGATGCGCCCGATGCACGCCCAGTGACAATATATAGCCAACATCCGCGGTGCGACCCATCGAGTCGGGCAATATGCCTTTGTCCTGCATGGGAAAACCGCTCAGCCTGTTGTAAAAGTCATCACTATCACTGAAATTGGCTATTACCTCCTTATTGACATTTCGATACGGTTTGATTTCGGCAACAATTAAACCAATTATCGCCAGATTATATACAGCGGCTAGCGCAAAGAAGCGCGTACTTGAGGTAATATCTTCGTACCATGACAGTGGATAATCGATTGGAAACCATTCTTGGCACAGCGTGCGCACCTGACGCAGTAAAATTACATTTAAATAATATTGAGTATTAGCTAACAGGTGGCCCATACTCACCTCCGTCAAGTCGTCGGGCACCAAAAACCTTAGCTGGACATCATTAACGGAGCAGAGCGGCACATGCTCGCAGTCGCAGTCGACGCGCGTGAGGATATCGTTGTTGGGTGGAGCATTGTGTTTATTGTAGCTGATTCAGCGCCGAAAAGACGCCGCATTACCAAAAAGACATACATATATATATATATATATATTATAGTTAATTTAAATGCGTGGGATCTATGTATTAGTAGGCGACGGCAACCGATTTCACTTGCATAATATTACGACGCGTCACGACACCAATAGATAAACAAAAGGTCTATATTAACGCACCCAGCGGCACCCGGCAACAGCAATGACAAATGTCGGCTACCGTCGCCTACTCGCGCAGTGGACTCTGCTGCTTAATAATACACCAGCTTTTGTGCTACTCACAGCGTAAATTGTGGCATGCTGCCGAAGCTGCTGCTGCTGCTGCTGCTCTGCTGCTGTTGTTTCCAATTAGGGCAATTATGTCCATGGGTTGTGGCTGTGCACCACACAGGTTAGGCGCGGAATTTGGTCGGCCGTTTGTGATATGATAGGGCGAAATTTGAATGCTCAGTTCGGGCTGCGTGCGTTTGTTATTTTGAGTGTGGTGCGCCTAATTGATTTTAATTAAAATTCACATTCGCCACATAAAACCACTTGCTCTGGCACGCTGCAGTTGTTTTATGGTATCGAATATCAAAGGTAAACTGCTGCTTTTACTGCCGATGCACTCCATTTAGTGCGAGCCTGCTCTCCTGTGATGATACACACCCGCATTTCTTGGTTAAATAAAAAAACTACAAAAATTGACTTTTTAGATTTCTATACATTGTTTATTACAAACGACTAACGTGAAAACTTCACTGTGAAGAGCACGATTGCAAGTGTGAAACAGCTGGTTTGCCAATCACACAAAACGACGCCGGGATGCCACATAAGCGCAATGCAGTGCTGCCTGACTGGTAAATAAAGCGCGTATTTTAAATACAAATTTTAAATTTGTTTGTATATATATTTGTATTTGTATTTATTGTAATTATTTGTTTTTGTTTTTCTTTTAGTAGCGCCTGGCTTGGCTGGCGGCCTGCGAAGTACTTGCCACCGGCGCTGCAGCCGGCTTCGTTGGATCGTCCAGCACTCGCACCACCATTGAGCTCTTCGGACCTGTGCACCAAGTTATGCCATGCTCATCCACGACAAACGTTTCCAGCGTAACCTGAAACTGGCCGCCACTCGAGATGGGCAGCAGGAAGCTACCAGAAAGGAAATCTCGCTGCGGCTTCACGATCTGGTTGAGCGTGACTGTGTCATTGTTGGGCGTCTTCCCCAGCTCGTTGCCTGGCCGCGGCGTCAGCAGCTGCGATGTGAGACTCAGTTGCACCGAGTCGACGCGTCGGAAGTGTTTCTGCTGCTTGCTAAAATGTTGCAGCACGCCCTCCACCTTTATCACCAGATTGCTGCCCGACTGCACAATGACGGGCTCTGTGGCACTGCGGGGCTGTGGACTAACCGACAGCTTTATCTGTGTGGACTGCAGTATCTGGAAGAAGTAGCGCGGCAGGCAGAGTGAGGTCTTTGTTATAATTTCGATCAAAGCAATGATCACGTCCAAATGCCTGTTGCTGATGGTCTTGGCGTTGGGCGGCTCCTGCGGCAGGTTTTTCTGCATTTGTTCCATGCGCTGGCAGCTGGCTGCAAAGAAGCGCGTCTCCGGATGATTACCGGTGGTCAGGAAGACAGGCGGCTCCGGCGGCGTCGCATAACAAATCGATTCAATAATATGGGCGAAGAGCGCGCACTGAAATTCGGCCACCTCAAGGAACTCCAGCGTCACATTATCCGCATCAAAGGATGACTTGTAGAGGCGTGCGTATGTCTCCTCGCATGCCTTCAGCGACTTGACCAGCTTGCGCAACTGATTCGTCACATGGCCAAACTTTTGCAAATAGTCGCGTGAGTTCTGTGCGAGGCTGCCCGCAATTGCTGGAGGCGGCACAATAACCTGCGCATTCTTGACAGTCACGGCCAGATGGAGGGTCTGCAAGAACTGTGCGCGTATCTTTAGATACTCCAGCTGAAAGCTGCACGGATGTTGTGGCGAGGAGCAGGCACGCATGCTGGCCAGCGCCTGTTGATACAGATTGCTCGCCGCCTCCAGACGCCTCATCAGCGGCAACAACGGCTCCGGCGCCTCGGCGGGCGCATAATTGTCGCGCATGTAGGCATATTCTCGGCCATAGTTAAGTATGCACTCGGCCTGCGAGATCTGCGCCAGGGAGACCAAAAAATAGTGCATGTGATCGCTGATGACAATCTGCGAGACCTTCGTATAGATGTGCGCCGCCACGTAATGGTGTCCATACCGGCTCGCCGTGCGCGCTATACGATACAGAGTCCAACAGTTGACGCGTTCGATGCACTTCTCGAAGCAGTGCACCACTTCCTGCGTCAGATAACAGCCCATGGTCGTTTGGAAGACAAGAGCGCTAAGAATTTCCACTGTGCGCAGCAGCTGCTCCGGCTGCTCTTCGCTGTCCACCAGCTTGTTCAGCTTGTACAGAATAAGCGGCAATCGCGCCAGCATCGGATTGGGCTGAAAGTGGGAATATTACTGAGTTATTAGGTTATTGGATATGGCAGAAACATTACCTTGGGTGGCGCAGGCTCGTCAGTTTCCATAGCCGCATCGTCTTCAAGACCTTCAGCCGTGGAGAATGCGTACTTGCGCAGCTGGAAGTGCTCACAGAGTCCGACAGCTGCCTCGCAAATGAGCTGTAGATTATCGGGCGGATAATCAACATTGTCGCCTAGGGTATTCGTTACCATCTCGATGAAGTCGGCTCCGAATTCCGCATTCGCTTGAGTAATTCGTATGCCATAGGCAAGCACACGTCGCAGATCTCGATTGAACTCCGCCCGACGCGACGTACAGAACAAAAGGCCCTCCATATGCAAGTCCACCATTTCAAGTATAATATCAACATGTGGATCCTGCTTCTTGAGCCCAAAGGCCACCAAAGCAGCCAGCACAGCCATTGCCTGGGTCGCTGTAGTGTAGTCATCCAATTTGCTGATGCACTCGTTGCAGAGGCGCAGCAAGGCGTCGCGATGCTCGCTCAGCAGATGCTGGCACGTCAGTGGACACTCGCTCAGCTTCAGGAGTATGGAGAGGAACAGGAACTGTTCAGCGCCATTCGTGCAGAGATTAAATTTGGCGATGAGAGCGCCAATGGCAGGCTTGGGCCAGGCATTCACGCTCTGCTTGCCGGCCAGCTCATTGAAGGAGCGCAGAACCTGGATGCGTACGGGCGTACGCAAATCCTGCATAAAGTCGAGCAATACATTTAGCTGACCCGGCACGCCCACCAGCGTACGCGATGACAATTGTGTGAGTGTATTAATGATGGCCACCACAAAGCTCTGGGCGGGATATTTGGGCAACAGCTCCAGGCACAGCTTGCTGACCAATGCCGCCGTATTGGCGTCGTGGTGCATGTGTCGCAGCACGGGGATGAGCAGCAGTTTCATTGGCACCGGCACCTGCAGGGATTCAATCATGTCCGAGATCTTCGCACACATGCTGATGGCAAAGGAGCTCGATTGGGCGGCAAAGCAGCTGCTGGCATAGATGGCGGCCTCCACCTCGACGGTGTCGTGGCTGTCGAGAGCACGACGTATTGCATGATGCACCTGGGGCTTCTCTGGTATTACACGTGAGACAGCGCCCAGGGTGCGGAGCAGCAGAGCACGCGCCACCGGATCATTCGAATGCATCACCATAAAAATGCGGCGCACAAAGTTGTCAATGTTAAGTATCTTGTCCAGATGATTCTCGCTCTGCTGGCACACACGCAGCACCCAGAAACGCAGCAGATTTGAGCCGCTGACAAAGAACTCGGCCAGTTTGATGAATGACGAGTTAATCAGTATGGGAAAGGGATACTTCTCAAAGAGTCTCGGAAAACGCACAATCGCCTCGCATTGTATTCCCTGCTTCGCGCTGCGCAGGCCCTTATCCAGCTCCATAAGCACAGCATTTGAATCGTGCTCATTGTCGTTCAGGAAGGACTCGTTAAACATGCTGACACGTGTGCCCGTTAAATGTGCCATTTTTTCGCTATTTATATAGTTACATTGACTTTCAAAATAAATATTGCTTCACGCTAAGAAAACAGTAAACAAATCCAATATAAAAACTGATGCAGCCTACCGGTTGCCATTCAGCTGTAAACGTAAAACGCCGGGTACACAGCTCGTGCTAACATGATTAACTACTATTTTCGTAAAAATGTAAAAAGCCAAATATGTGTAGCTAATAAAAAATGAATTTGTTGCTTAACTAATTGAGAACTTTTTCGGATATTTTTTTTCTGCGTACTTTGAAAAACTAACGCTGTAACTCTTAACAGCGCTGTTAACACAACAGGATTCCGTCAGATGGTTCTGTTACGCGTTGTTTTTGAACTTGTTGCTGTTTAACTGTTTTGCTTCTTCGCAAGTTTTTTCTGCAAAAATTTGCGTACATAGAATAACTAACGCTGAAACTCTTAACAGAGCTGTTAACTCAACAGGATGCCGTAAGATAGTTCTGTTACTCGTTGATTGTGAAATTGTTGTTTAAGTTGTTTAAAATATGTTTGTTTTGACTAAAGTAGATAGTGGTCTGTATATAAATAAAAACTAATTTATATTTAATGCATTAACCAAGCTACATGTTGCAGATAAGGAAAAATTCATATTAATTCCATCCAAAGCGACGTACACAATCGGACGCTTGTCGACGGACTTTATTTTAGCTAAAGACCTCAGCATTAGTCGCACTCATGTACGCCTGTGCCTGCCCAGCGCTGGTCCAGCGGAGGCACTCACTGTGGAAGACCTGGGCTCCAGGTACGGCACATTTATCAACGACGACATTAAGCGTAACAAAAAGTTGAATGCCAAAACGCCAACTCCGATCCAGGTTGGAGATAAGGTCCGTTTTGGTGCACTGGAGAACGTCTGGCAGCTGTCGCAGCTCAAGCTAATCACAACCGCATCGGCATTGAGCCGCGCAGAACTTCAGGAATTGAATCAGCTCATAAAACCTCTAAATGGCACCATCTTGCCTTCTTGGACGGAGGAGTGCTCGCATTTAACCATGAACACGGTTACGATCACAGTTAAGCTTCTGCATGCTCTGCTGCAGAATAAACCCATCGTCCGAGTTGAGTTCTGGCGGGAGATGCTTAAGTTAGCCCGCCGGCTTCACGTCTCCGAAAATTGGCCGAAGCCCGAAGATTTTGCGCCAGTTCAGCCGGCGGATATGCCCAGCATTAAGTGGCGTCCAGAGCGCACAAAGCTGTTTGCGGGCAAAACGTTTGTGTTCATGAATCGCAAGCATCTGGATATGTACGGCCCGGTGGTGCAAAAAGCAAGCGGCGCCTGCAAGGATCTCAACTCGGGCGTACGGAAGCAATTTCTGACGAAAGCCAATGTCGTGGTCATACAATATGTGACCTCGACTCAATCGCAAGCAACAGAAACTATTTTCAGTGTTCAAGGTGTGTGATTACTTTACAAATTTCGATTGAAACCTGGTTTTTTTAATCAAATTTAATATTAAAGGTATTCTGGAGCAGGCTGGACTGCGCCCAATACCAGATTACGAAATTGGATTAGCCATTTTGCACTGCTCCATGGACAAGTTTTGTAATCCGTCGCACAAGATAACTGAGAACTCGTTGGCTACAACTGAATCCATGGATTCGTCAATCTTGGTGCCCAATACAGAGCGCACTCAAACGGAACATTGTAGACAGAACAATGCATCTGAGTTTGTTGTCGCTGAATCCCAAAAGTCGGAAATATATGCACTCAGCGCAGGGAGTGAAAAACAGGAATCAGAGCCACAGCCCAATCCAGCACCAAAACAATCAAAAACTAAGCTACACAGTAAACAGAACAATGCAATATACTTGGACTCCTCTGATGAGGATGTTGAGGTGGTCGAGGAGCAAACTAAGAAACCTAAAGCATTGATTGAGAATGGCTCGAAGCGGAAAATTGATCGTGTTGTCGATTCCTCTGATGATGTTCAGCCCGAACCACATCAATTAAGGAAAAGAACCAAAACTTCGACTGAGAACAGCTCTGCTAAAGCGACTCAAGAGAGTGTTGCAAAACCAGATGCACTGGCTATTGAAGAGGATCTAGTTGACGACTGTCAATTCGTTAAGAAAAAAGCAAATGATTTGCCACAGAAACAGCCTGCAACTAATGCATCTAGGCGCTCAACTCGCTCCCACCCCCAAGTTGAGCAAATTGTGGTACAGACAAAAGCGCCTGCATCGCCCAGACGTTCACCGCGCGGTAAACAGACGGCAGGAAAGGCTACATTGAGTATAGCTCAGAGTGACGATGATAGTGATCAGGATGAGGGGCTATTTCGGTTCAAAACGCAGGCTTCAGCTTCTGTGGAACGTGCACCCTCCAGACCGACTGAAGTTAATATTGAGTCCAACAGCGTGCTGGCTGAGAAATCTGTGCCCAGCCCAAATGTCAATAAACCAGCCAGAATTAGTGTGCGAAATTTTCTGGAAAAATCACAGAATCATGTTGCATCTCAAAATGCTGAGTCCACTGCATCCCAGCCTCGCAAGCGTGTGCGACTGCAGCTGATAAACGAGAGCGACAGCGATGACAATGAAAATCTGTTCCAGTTTGGCGGGGCCAAGAAAATAAAGCGGACAATGGGCTCGAGCAGATCAGACAATGATTCCAATGATGAGGACTTGTTCAATTTTAAAGAACGTGCTCAACAAGAGCACAGCAAAGAAGAAAGCGACGACGATGATCAGGATTCAGTTTGCACAGAGCCATTTGTGCCCGAAACGAAAATAAAATCCAAGTACATTGTGCCTAAACCAAAGGAACGACCTCGCAAAGTAGATATAAGTGCCTGGCTATCGTGTAGCGGGCTACATGAGGACGTCAAGCCGGAACCAAAGCCAGATCCAGATGTATTACAAATGGATGCGGACACTGTTAAAGAGGAAACTGAGGATGACAAAGAGAAACTGGAGCACCTCAAATGGTTGGCAAGCATCAAGGATAGCATACAAGTGCGCATGTGCAACATGAGCATCTGTGTTCGCGGCCCCGATGAAACGGATGCAGCTAATACCACTGAAAATAAATACGGCGATCGCAAGAATTTTAAGAAGTTTGCCAAGGTACACAGCACTTGTTCTATCAGAATCACAGCTGGCTTATTAATCAATTCTTTGTCTTTACAGAAAGCGAATGTTCACTCGCAACGGCACATCGTGGGACTAAAGCGTATGCAGCTGGCCGAAGGAATGGTCTCCGATCTGTAAGTCAGCATCTACATACATGTAATTTCTCTTGTTATATTTTGCTACCAATATATTTGCGAAACACGTTCAATGCCTTTTTTTGCTCCCGTGCTTGCAATTTGCGCTCAAAAAGTGTTGTTGCCGCCAGCCACTCGTGATTTTGTATTGCTTTCGTCACACAGCTTTCCGGCGTCTTTTTTCGTGCCTTTGATTCGCGCACAATAAAATGCTTGACATCCTCCACGGTGGCCAGCGAGTCCAGTTGGAAGGTTGGCTGCTTCAGTGCAGCTATTGGGGTTTTACGAGCAACCACAGTGCCCACATCCGCTTTGGCCCGTTCCTTGGCCTTTTCTACTTTCGTGACCAATGGCGGGAGTTGCGTCTGAAGTGTGACACTTGTAGGAAGCGCCGCTTCGGCTGGGACTACCGGCTGGCTTACTTTTATCAGACGCAGCTGCGTTGGCAGATAATAGTTCTCGGGTATAAACTTATGATTTTCCACTAGAGGAAATTTGGTGAGCTGAGGTTGTAGCTTGTTGTACAGCGTGGCACAATTGTTGGCCTGCAGTAAGCTTAACTTGTTTATTTTGGCTACGGCTGCTATGAGCAGCGTCAGGAACTCCATGAAGAAATTGCTGCGTATCATTTGTCCAAAGTATTTGACGGTCGCCTCGCAGCAGTCGCGAATCCGTTCATGCAGACGATGGAAAGCTATCAAACGCACCAGTATGAATTCAAGACTGTTTCGTGTGGGCATTTCGCCGGACAGCTCCACATCGCATGCATCAGGCAAGGCGCCGCGAAAATGTTCCAATTCCCGAGGCAGATCCAGACGCAGTAGCCGGCAGAGCGCTGCATTTAGCTTGCATACAGCACGAAATCCTGGCATGCAGCGAAAAGAGTTTTTACGACGTGCCATCAGACGTCCTATTAAAGCGGCTGTCTGATTGAACTCCAGGTAGTCTGGGCCGGATAACTGATTCAAGTATCGGTTAATGACCACAAAGACATTCTTTGCTGTGTGAACATTGATACTTAGTAAAAGTTCGCATAAACTATAAAATTCACTTAAGCTTACCAAATCCCGTATCATTTACATGTAAAGTCACCAATGGTGGCTTTTTTAATTCAAATTCGTTCCAAAAGTGTAAATTGGCCATGCTTCAACAAAAGGTAAATAGATGCAATAATCTATCGATAACGTTAACATTCGATATCTTCGACGGTTATGCCTGCTTTGAGACTGCCATATCGACATGAAATTGTGCAGTTTTCTTTTAAAATTTTAAGTGCATGTAGAAGACTGTACAAATATTAGGTTTGTTGCTCAGTAACAGTAATGATCCCGCAAAAAATATAACTATGAAAGTTCGTAAATCAGCCTATAATTATTTGAAACGCTTCTTTTGGCGGCTCATCGCTGTCAGATTGGGCGATCACAGCGGTCTGGCAACTCTGCCGTGCCCATATGACTTTGTCTCCACCTGTCAGCTATTCAATTTCCTCCATTATTTACTGTAGAGAGCTGTTGCGTGTACTACGTATACGCGCTGCTAATTGCCTCTTTTTACATTTTTATTAAGTCGAAGATATAGCCGTACCACGGGGGACGCGCGGGTGTTTGTGTGTAAACTGATTAGATAGAATCAAGGTTTTGCAAAAAAAAAATGCTAGTCATCAACACAATCAGAAATTCAGCGAGGCTGACGCTGCGTAACGCTTGGCTACGAAATAGTTTGGCCAGCACAACTGGACCAACAAATTTCTCGCGCACTTTCTCGCTGAGTCTGGCACTTAGGCAACAAGATGTGTAAGTGATATTAATTTGACAAACACGCCCAAGGGAAAACTAATGAATTGTTTATTGTTGCTGTCAGTGTGAATGTGACCTTCGTGAGAGCGAACGGCGAGAGGATTAAGTCTTCCGGCAAAGTGGGTGACTCGCTGCTAGACGTTGTGGTAAACAACAATGTAGATCTTGACGGATTTGGCGCCTGCGAAGGCACCCTGACCTGCTCCACTTGCCATCTTATTTTCAAAGTTCCCGACTACGAGAAGTTGCCCGATAAGCCCGGCGACGAGGAGCTCGACATGTTGGATCTGGCCTACGAATTGACGGACACCTCACGTCTGGGCTGCCAAATAACGCTGACCAAGGAAATGGACGGGCTCGAGGTTCAGGTGCCGGCTACAATAAACGATGCACGCGCTGCGTAGGCGTTCGTACCCGACAATTGTTACAATTTGTTACTTTTTGAGTGCTATTTCGTTTAGTTAACGTATTCATAGACGATTATTCAAAGAAATCTTTTGTATTGCAAGTCTCAACGGACACTAACAAGCTCAGGCGTCTATTATAGATTCGTGCATAAATGAATTTAATTGTATGCTAGTTGATTTTTGGCAATGTATACCAGTTTTTAGGTACAAAGAATCAAAGAGAAATGTAAATATATATGTGTGTTCGTAAATAAATAAGTAAAGTCAAGTTCTATTTTCATAAAATATGTATTTGTGATTGTCTTAATTCCAACCTACTCCGATTGTGGAGTTGCCCAACCTACTCCGACTGCGCAAGAGTTGCCCAACTGTTGCTTCAAAAATGGAGCTGAATCCAATTTTAAAACTGAAATTAAGTTAAAACTTCAGTTAATTGAAAATGTCCGAACTTAGCTGGAAAGCTTGCCCTTGGGGCTCTGTAACAAATCTCCGCCCCAACAAAAACAGAACACAGTTTTTAATAAAAGTAAACTTTTTATTATTTCGCAGCTATCAGATAAAGTAATAAATAAATAATTTAATATATACATCTGCTATATTAACTTATTTTAAACGATTTTCAGCATTTCCATTTTGCCGCTGTGCCTTTTATGATAACATTTAAACGCGTAATTTAGATAGCTTTAAATTATTTATGTATAACTGAAACTTAACAAATCTGACAATGAGAGAAATGACGTCACAATTTCGTTTATTTTCGTTTCGACCTCTTCGTTAATAACTAAAGAATTATGCAGATAAGGCAACCTTGCCATACGAATACGCAGCGAGCGATTGGAAAAGGAAAATAAACTCAATAGTTCGATAAATAAACAAATAAAATTAAAAAATAAATAGTTTAGGTGAAAAGGGTGTCGAGTGGGCAGCATAAATAAATAAGTAAATAGTTAGTGAGTGAGGTGACGGGATGAAGATAAGTGCACATAAAACTGATTTGGTTTTTTGTTCACGCCGTGCTGATGATGATGCCGTGGATACCTAGTGTGTGTGTGTGCGCGTGTGTGTGAGTTGCCTTCTACTTAGTTGACATAGGCCATGCCCGCGCCCTTGCGATCGAAGTGGCGCACGCGCACAAAGAGGAAGGCGGCGACTAGAGAAGCCACAGCGAGGACGAGCAGCAGCATCACCAGGCCGCCCACGAAGCTGGGCACGGACATGCAAATGGTCTCGGCATCGGCGGAGCGCGCCGACTGTATGACAACCGTCTCGTTGCTGGCATTGCTATTCAGCGCAAAGTTGACATCGCCGGGCGCCACCACCTGTATGATGCGACTCGTGTTCACGTCGGTCATTTCCTGTGCGTTGCGTTTGTAGATGCGCGGCTTCACCACAATCTCCATGGTGTCGCGACGCCGGCGCACGCCGCGCAAATCATCCAGACCCTCGACGGAGCGTGGACGGCCGCCCAGCGAAACCAGATTGCCACCAGCGCTCAGGTCATCCTTGCGCTTCACGGTGCTATACTGACCGGGCTGGCCAGGCAGTGGTGGTGGCGGCAGACCCAGTTCGTTGCTGTTGCCATTGCCCTGCTGCTGTTGTGGCGCCTGTGAACTGGCCGGACCGCTGCCCGCATTAGCTCCCGACTCGGCTGTCGTTACGGCTGAGGTTTGCGCCTGTGGCGAGGGCACGACATCGGGCTGATTCTCGGAGTAGGCGCCGCTAGCATCAGCAGGATGACGTGGATCGGGGTAAGCTGCTGGTGGGAGGCCACCCAATGGGAAATCATTGCGTTCGTAGGCCTCTGGTGGACCGTATTCCTCGGAGAGCGCATTGCCGCCTATTTGGGGCAGTCCATATTCACCGCCAGGCAGGCCGGGACCGCACTTGGGCTCTGGGCAATTGTATCGGCACACCTGGATCACACACTGGAAGTGCACGTTCATCGAGTCGGGGAATTTGAAGGCCTGGAAGTAAGCAAAGCTGACCACCGATGCAGAAGGACCAAAGTTCTTGATCTTTTGGAATTTGCTCATGATCTTGGGTCGGACAACGCAGCCGTTTTGATCCACCAGCTGAATGGGAGCACGTTTGCCATCATGGGCGACACAGTTGCGCACCAGCATATCGAACTTGTTTTCATCATCCTTGATGGCCAACACCATGGTCATGGTCTGTCCGATCTTCACAATGCCCGAAACCTCAGAGGCCCATGGGCCCTTGCCGACCTGAATCTGCATCCAGCACTGAAGATTATCGCCCAAAAAGTTCGCTGTTACCGCATGCAACATGTCCACCTGGAAGGGCCTGAAGGTGACAGCCTTCTCGTAGAAGTCGTACCAGGTGCAGCGCAGCTTGCGTGCCTGATCCCACACCTCCTGCACATACGGATCGTACTGAATAATGATCGTGTTCTCCACATAGCTACCAGAGGGCGTCGGTGCACCATAACCAGCCGCATTATGATTGGCCGAGCTGCTCATGCCGCAACTGTTCAGGAAGATCTCAAAGGTGGCGCTCAAATGGCCAGTGCCCGGCTGCATGTGCACGCAGTGGGATTCGCTGTAGAAGCCCTTGGAGAAGATCATGCCATAGAAGGGCCTATCGAATTCAATGTTCACCCGCATGTGCGTCTTCTCGCACTGCACCTGCAGATGCTTGATCTGTGGACTGTCATTGGTGCTGGCCAGCGGCCAGGCCTCCTCGGACAGATCGTTGGTGGCGCCAGTGCTCAGCGGGCCTTGTGGTGCGCCATAAATGGGCGATGGCGCGGGCGGTCCGTAGCCCGCTCTGTGTTCCAGTGGCAGTGCGGCGGATTCAATGTGTGAGGCATCGCCGTGAACCGAGAGATGCTGCCAGAGTAAAAGAACTTCATGAGTAAGTAGAATATCTAATATAACTTTACAATTTGAAATTCTTTAAATGGTATATTTATTCATGTGAGGTCTAGACGGAATCATCTCCAATTCTATTAAGTGTATATATTATTAATCAGTATCAGCAGCCATTCGATATAGCATCCGTCCGTCTGTCTATTTTAATGCGAACCAGTCTCTAATTCTTAAAGCTTTCTTCATGAAACTTTGTGTGGGTATCGGCCAGATCGAATTACTATATAATATAGAGGTGCCTGATTCTTCGTTCTTTGAGTTTGAAGAATTGCTGTTGTTTTTCAAGATATCTTAATCAAACTTGGCGTATACATAAAAGCAAAGCTATACACTATATAGGAAAAGCTATACACTATAGGAAAAATGTAGCATAAATAAGTTTTAATATAGAAAACATTGATGTTTCCTAAGATATTCTTCTTCCTACAAATCTGTAGAGTCCTATCAAACTGGACAATTTCTATCTATAGAACCAGCTTATCAGTTTGTTGCTAGTTATTCAGACCCTAATATCAGAGGGGTTTCTTTGGCACAAGTTGCTCTTATAATATATTACTAAAGATATTTGTACAACAAACTTGATTACTTCGACTGAGATTGCCAATGATGAAAGCTCTTTACGATCCATAATCGTGCGCATTAAGATCAGCGATATGTTGGGATTGCGGAAAACTTGTGCTTATGGTTGGCTGCTTATTTTGTCATTTAATTTGAGGCGGATTATGCAATTGGAGCCCAGTTGATCGTCACCAAAATTTTCGAAAGAAGCGTGCCAGAGCGTTGAAAATTGCAGAGCATATTATATATATTTTGAAATTAAATGGCCGCCGGAGCGAAGCACGTTTACCTAAGCCAAAAGCAGAGGGCCCATTGCATAAGACAGCAATGTATGTATGCCCCGCTCTCCGCTCTGGTACAACCAACTCGATTGCGTCGCTTTCTTTTCAGTGTATCTTTTCATTCCCGTTTCACATTCGGTTCATAATTTTATGGCTTTTTATTTGGCTGTGCACGGGAAACGGATGTAACGCTCTGCGTCTGTGTCTCTGTGTCTGTCTGTATCTGGGCACAACCCAACTAAAATCGAAAGTTCAAGTCGGCGGCACACGATGACGCTGTGGATTTTTGGGAATCTTTTGTCGTGAGTTGATTTTGAAAGTGAAATGACCACGAACAAAACGAAATCAAATAAAAAAGCGTCAACGAAATGCGTACAACGTCTGTATCTTTTGATATAAGACGAGACATTCTAAATAAAGCATTCGATGCGTATCTGTGGACTGAAGTTTTTCCACTTCTACTGGCGCATTTCACTCGGCGCTAAAGAAAACTGGCGATAAATAAATAATATAGCAATCTGAATGTATTAATGCGCTATAAACAAGAAAGTCAAAACTGGTACAAATCAGAGCATAACTGCAATTTCGCTGCCCCAATACAGACACGCAGCTGCCACTGCCACAGCCACGGCCACGGACACTGCAACTGCTGGCCAGTTAGTAGCTGGCATTTTCCGTGACGCGATTGCATCTGTAAGATATTCGCTTTAACGATTGGCTGTGTGTGTGATTGATGCAGCTTAAATGGCTGCATAAATAAGCCATAACTTGGCTTGATTTACATGCACGCATATCAAGAGAAATACGTTTTTCGTTTAAGCCATGCCATTTCAAACGAAAGCGCGTCCAAGTTGCCGCAAAAATACTTCCAAAATGTAATTTTGATTGGCGACCGTTCATGTGGCTAACATTTTGCACGCTGTTAAGCGACTGTTAAGCGCCACTGTTAATATCAAGTTAAGCTCTTTTTCTATTTACCTCGCACAGTCTCTTGCTTGTAATTACACTGATCAGCCAAGTGCCGTTTAATGCGGCGACGGCAGCTCACTTATTGCACTTTTTTTTTTGCCTTTCTTCTGCCTCCGCATATATCCGCCTGTGCGTATCGCATAGATCGCATTGATCTCAGCTTTACCGCTAGCATTACAGCTCATCTTATATACGCTGAACGTTTGGTCAATCCATCAATATGCCATACACAATGGACACTCGCACTGATTTGCATTCGAATTGATATTGAAGTGTATATTGATAAACGGTAGTCCGTCGCGTCGAAAGTGATCGAATCCGCTATAGCTTGGTTTGCATAAGAAACGAACTCGTCGCTCGCCGTGCGCTCTCCACATCTCAACTTCTCTTCTTCTAAGTGGGGCACTCTAACTGTATAGCGTTTGGTGTTTCCTAATTGAAATGAAATCATATTGATTGGGCTATCGGACATCGATCTGCATTTCTACAAGTGGCTTTTAAAGTTCACGTCAACACTTTCTTCCCAAAATAAGCTGGTTGTATGGGGTAAGGGGGGACTTACCTGTGTGTTGAATACCAGGCACAAGACTAAGGCCAAGAGGCAACTGTGTCGCGTATAGTGTCCCATTTTACTGCTGCTATATAAATCTGTTCGATTATATAGCCGTGTGTCTGTCGGTGCGCCGAATGGGTGCCTGATACAGCCAATCGTTTTGTTTTGAATTTTTGCTGCTGCTCGTCTCTGTTCGTGTTCCTCGCTGCTTTCTTCTCAGGTTTGTTGATCTTTTGGTGTCTCTTTCTGTAAGTAGCAGAAAAGAAAGGGGAACAAGGGTAAACAATGCAGCCAAACGGTGTGTAGTTTTGCATAGAGTATATAGGCCGATGCTCTTAGCTGTCTAACATTAACATTAACAGCATTCATATTCTACAGGGTGTTGCAAGTTTTTTATGACCTTGTCCTTTAATTGCAGAACTTGGCTATATCTCGATTTATGCTTTAAATTTGTGCTTCATTTAAATCTTTCGTATATTTAAATGTTGTTATTTTTCCTATTTAGGTTTTTAACGAAAAGTCTTATTCTTAGATGATTTAATATATTCTGCCAAATTTCATGCCAATAATGGCAACACTTTCAGCTTGTAATGCTCCCAAAATACGTAGAAATTTCCCATCATAGTCCGTAAGCTCTTAAAGACAACTTTAAAATGCTTTTTAGTTTCTATTTTGATCGTTTTTAAATGTTTTTTTTTTTATATATTTTAATTTAATCAGTGCCTTTAAATTTGTATAAATATTATGTACAAGTATTTTATTGGTTCGTATAACCACAATAAGCCAAAATGAATAGCAGACTCTTAATAGCTTAATGCTCATAACTTGAAAAGCACTTAAATGACACTATATATATACACACACACACTCACACACACACATACACTTTTATAGTCGCCGAAACTGCATTTTATGTAAAGCAAATGAAAACTCGCGGGCAACAAACAGGAACCACTTTCTATTTTCACTATAACAGTACACGGAGGAGCTGCAATGAACAACAACAACAACACAACAGCAACAACAACAAGAAGCCAAACGCCAACGCAGTTGCAAGTTTTCTTCACAGTGGCTGGCCCCACTTTATGGGCCCCATTAATTTGTATTTGTGTGCTTGTATTCCATGGTGCTTACTTTACAGTTTGGCCTAGCATAGCATTAACATTGTGTTAACATACGCTAAACATTTCACGTGCCGCGCGTTGACTTCGACTTGGAGACGTTGCCGCTGCGCCTGCGTCTTCGTCTGCTTGCCGATTGAGACTGAGGCCGATTCTGCGGCTCTGGCTGCGACTGAGACTGAGACTGACGACCGCATCAGAGGCGCAGCTTTCACACAGCTCCAAGTGAAGCTGCTGAGCTCAGGTTGCCGCGCCGGCTGCCGCTTTTGGCGGTGGTACGAGCGGGGCGGGGGGGAGCTGCTTATGAAAAAAAAGTAAGCGGCGTCTGCGTCGCATTTCACTTGACTGAGTGTTGAGTTTTTTTTTGTTTTTGTAAGTTTTTGGGCTGCCTTGGTGAATGTTGTAGCGGGCAGTTTTACTTTTACAGATGGTAACAGCGGCCCATCATATGGCACCGGCCAGCCGAAAAGTACGACACCCGAGCACACCCCATATAAATGGCTTTTTAACAAGCTGCGGCAATAAATCGACGCGCAGGCTAAATAAAGAAGAAGAAAAAATAAAAAACCGGCTCTCCAGCGTTGAGCAAGTGTACCATTAACCCACTGAGACAGTAACGGACGCTGCGGTGCTGCGCTGCGCCATTGTTGGCAGCGACGTCGACGCTGACGCCGCTTGAGCTGACCCTAGCCACGACCACTGACTGGCTCGTTACGCAATGCTCCCAAAAGAACTTCAATGAATGGGGCTGGTCAGTGTGCCTCTGTGCGTGTGACTGTGTGTGCCTGTGTGTGTGTGTCAGTGTGTGTGTACCTGAGTGTGTGCGTGTGTGTGGGTTGCTTAGTTTAACGGCGCTTTTTGGTGCTACTGCTGCTTCACTTTCTTCCTCGACTATTTTCACCCGAGCAAAATTGTCTCCCATTTGCATACGAAAGACTTAAGACACAAACTTGGCAATTAACAAGCAGCGAAATTTTTGCTAATTGCTGCCCAAGCAGCCAGCAAAATGAAGATTCCTTATCAATGCCGGCTCTAATCGCTACATTCAAGTTGATTTAGTTACATATTTAGTACAACGAATTCAATATACACTTACATTTGGCTAAGAGGCATTTTGACAGCCAAAAACTTGAATAGTCTCCACAAGTATTTGATACAAAAAACTGCTAAATAAAAATTAAATAAAATGGATAATACTCTACAAAGAGTATCTAGTAACATAATTTGAATAGATAAACTTTATACTCAGAGAGTTTCTTAGATATATTGCCATATTTATGTGACATCTTTTTTATCATTGAGTATTATTCTTTTTGTGACAAACAACTTGACTAGCTAGCCATGCCCTTTTGTAGAGTATGCCTTAATCAAACAAGACTTCTAGGCAGCTCGTGGGGTTGACTGCCATCTGATGAGCCTGCCTCATCTAGCGTGCTTGATGCGCATTGTTATTGCTTATTGTTGTTGCCATTTGTTATTGTTGCTCTTGTGGTTGTTTTGTAGTTATGTGTAACTGCTGATGATGAGTGGCTTGTTGTTATTGTTGCTCGTTTGGCATAAGGCAAGTGAAAGTTGGCGTTTGCCATGCGCACTCCCAGCGAGCTTTCGTCTGGCATCTCTTTTTCATATAAGGGCATTGCTGCTGCGGCTGCCACTGTTGTTGTTGTTATTGTTGTTGCAGCTGTCTTTTGTTTTCTTTTTTAATTAACACAATCAAATTACTGTTTACTGGCATTTCTACATATCGTTATCATTGCCGTCAGACAAAAGAAAAAAAAAGTATACCTAAAGGTGCGAACTTTTGTTTTCAGCCAGTTCCTGACTAATTAGCTTATAAGCTTTAGCGAGAGCCAACAGCCAGCTGATGGCACACGGCCTGGCTGGCTGCCACAGAGGCAACATTGCCAGCACTTGCAGCTCTTTTGTGAGACGATTTATTCTCAGCTCAGGTTTGTTGCTGGCAAACATTAAATAATGTGAAAAGTGCCAGCAAGTGAAAATGCAATGAAAAGTTGTTGCTCATGTTGTTGTTGCTGTTGTTTGTTATTGGCTTGTTTGTGGGCTGTTTGTTTGCTTTTGGAGCGGGAGCGCAAGTCGGCGTCCGTCTATTGATTGAAATGACAATCGAAGCTGTCTCCTTGACTGGTCGTCGTCGTCGTTGTCGTTGCCGCAAACTAGGTGAACCACTGCACTGTTCGGTTTGTTCTAATTCTTGTTAATTTACGTGGCTGCCAATGCTCGTGCTCTGATGACCAACAATTTGGGCTAAATGAGCCGGATATTTGTTTTGAATCATGCGTTTCCATTCATGACACTCGAATTGCAGGATGATGTCTAAGGCTAGCAATCAATGCCAAATAACAATGCCAAACAATCACATGCTAGTCGCATATTAATTCCGACAACTATCTACAGATCTATATATAATTTGATTCCCAAGTCAAATAACAAGCAGAAGCTTTGCAGCTTTGTTAATCAAGCTTGAATCCTTGTCCCATGCCTGCTGTCAATTGGCTGCATCAAATGCATTTAATGTTAGCTCAAGTTAATTTCTTTGTAGCTTGTAATGGGATTTTTTTTGGTGGCAGCCGTTTGGCTGGTTCCATTAATTTAATTGAACGCTTTCACAAAACTACCCAAAGGCAAACGGCAAACACTTTTGGCAATGCCACGGGCGACGCAAATGTCCGGCGAATGATGGAAGGGGTGGAAGGCGTTTCAGCGACACAGGCCGGACATTTTGCTTAATTGAGCACGCCAACGATAGACAACATCAACATCAAACAGCATCAAAGCTGACAAATTTTTGCTTATGACACAGATGGCACAGCTGTGAGCCAGCGACCAAGCCCAGACTTGGAGCTGGGGCTTCAAAAGCCCAAAGCTAATGCAAACAATGGGCGTGCACAGGTTTTGCTTAACATACAAAAATAAAAAAACAGAACTCGAAACAGAGTTTTGGGTCTTTGTCAGTTTTATTTGTTGGAATGTTTTTGTTTACCACTTCGATTGCTGCTTGGCTGATGTTGTTGCTTTTGTTGTTCTCTTTGTCGCTTGGCGGGTAAAAGTTTCACTGCCTTGCAGATGTTGTGTGTGTGTGTGTAACTGTGTGTGAAGCTGCGGCTGCTGCTGCTGCTGCTTTTAATATCGCCTTGAAAATGTAACGGTGCTACAACTACAACAAGATGCTTACACACACACACACTAAGGTAGAATTCGTTGTCATTGTGGCTGCGCCGTAAATGATCGATATTACTTGCCATTGTGGCATAGAAATTGAAGCTCCATGCGTAATTAACTACAAACACATGTCTCCAGCGGCTGTCTCTATGCCAATATCTATATCTATATCGAACTGCGGCCGCAAGTCGGATGCTGTGAAAGTGAAATTGTTAACGCCAAAGAAAAGCAAACAGCAACAAAAACAAAAAATGTTAACCACCAAGGTTTACATGTGCTTGTTGCTGGCTGGCTGACAGTGAAGGGGCAATTTACGTTTCATTTCGTTTTGTGGTATGTGCCTCAGTTCACTTTTTTTTATAGCTATTAAGTAACTTTTTCTCCAGATAGATCTGCGACAGCTGACAAAACGTTTGTTAGCGGCGCGCAAACGTGTTGCGTGAAAGGGTATTTGTGAGTGTTCCGAACTGGGTTGAACATTTCTTTGACTCTTAACCTGGCCGACGCGTGCCAGCATAATTGATAAAGATCTCAAGTCGAGACAGTCATAAAAATTGTTTTAAAATTACGAAAATAATTATTGGCTGTATAAATGGCCAGTCAAATGATTTATGTAACTCAATTAAAAGTGACAAATTAAATGAATGATTGTTAGAAAAAGTCAGCTTGGAAAAACAAATGACTTAGGCAACAAACTTGGCTGCATTTTCACAAACGCCCGCAGCTATGCGTCTTGGCCATATCTGTGCACCATTTTTTTGTCGTCTTTTTTTT